GTAAGGTCGTCCTCCCTTTTTACGATGCCAAGCGCCCGCATCATCCCCCGTCTGTACCTATTAGCGGAGAAGATTTCATAAAATGCACGCGGACCATTCCCACAGCTCGCTCGAAGAATGGCAAAGTCCATCGTAATTTACCGCCGCGGTCCCTTCGTGACTCCGTAATCATCCTTCTCTGCATAAATGAAGGGTTGGAATTGGCCCTCGGTCCTACGTCCTCCTTTTTTTGCATCTCATTACTGTCACGTCAAATTTTCATTGAGAAATTTGGATTTTGGACAAACTAACGGTAGATTAAATTTAGACGATTTAGATAGATCTAAAATAAATTGAGTTCAGACGAATTGGATGAATTGAAAGTAAATTCAATTTTGATGAATTGGCTGAATTAGACAGAAAATAAATTCAATTCGAGTAAATCGAAAGTAACTGAGTTCTTATTCTGTCCTTAGCTCCGACGTTTAATCAAAAATAAAGGAAACGTTCAATTTAGGAAACAGAAGTTTGTAAAAGTTCTCCATTTTAATAGCGTAAGTTATAGATACATTAGATGCACAATATATATTAGAAAAGTATAAGAACCTCATGCTAACTGATCACACAATGTTCCAAGTATTCACAGGTACCGTATCAAAAATATATCACCCCTAATCTAAACAAATCATACACACATAACACTGACACTATTCAAAACACAATTAACAACAAAACAATATTACACTAGAACTACCAAGCCGAACTGAAAAGTCAAGTTGACTTTTTTGAAATTTTTCTATACAAACCCCAAGAGTGCATCTATCGAGACTTCGATCACTCGAAACTTAGTCTGCATATTACTAAAACAACTTCTTTAAAAATTTCTTAGAGAACTATCCACTTGTTTCCAATAAATGAGAATTTTAAGAGAATTTTAAGAGAATCTGGTAGTTCCAGTGTTAATTAGTCTAGCACTCGCAATACCATTGATCGAAGTGCATCCAGACCAATCCTTGTCGATTCTCCCAATACAAAAGTATCGGACACTCATCCTTTCAATTTCCCAATGAAAATTTCGCTTTTCCTACACGAGGAACATCCTCGTGACATGCGCCGCGTTGTATACAAAGTCGGCGCTAATCAAACGAACCCGTCTGGAAAAGTAACGACAGACACCGTCGCCGGCGGGGAGAGGGGCGCGCAATTAAATGAAAACCTATGCTAATGAGGATGGGGATCTCGATGTATTGTGGCCTGTGCACACGAACCGGCCAGGTGTTAATTGAGGCATAGATCCGTTGGTCAACCGGGGAGCCGATCGATTGGCACGATTTAGGCGGTCCGTTTGTTCGGTTTGTTTGTTTCGCGTTCCTGCGGCCGTTTGTCGTTCCTCTTCCGCGCTTCGGGCTGCCGCACGCTTCCTCGATATGAAAACGAGAACGCCTGAAACTTCTTTCTAATCTTCGCCACTTGTGGTAGCCGACGAATGACTTTCGCGTCGTTGACACTAAAGCTACCAAACGGATCAAAACGACCCATTCTTGGCTGCTACTGTTTGCAATTATTAAAAAGATAACAGATTCGGAGAAATTATTACAGATATTGACTTTGCAATGCTCAAACTGAATTGCAAATCAATTAAAGCTTCAATAGACGCACTCTTGGAGTTTCTATAGAGGAATTTCAATCAGTCAATTTAACCGCTCGGTAGTTTTAGTGTCAACACTTCGCATTTCGAATTCCCGTTGCAGTTCTTTCCTCGGTAACACTGTATTATTAGAAGTGTTTCCTTTGAAATGCACTTTGACAAATAGTTAGTTTATAAAAAACAGTGTTAACAGTTGTTTTTATTAATAATATTGAAAACAGCATAATTATATATTGTTCAATTATAAATAGTTCTAGTTTTCGAGTCGTATATTATTTCTGTCTAGTAGAGTAAAAGTTTAAAATATCTCGAGCGTTTTATATTGTATATCAGCTTATTCTTCCGTAACAGAGGAAAATATAACATTTACTAATTGCTTGATATTGTAATTCGTATATTATACTATCGTGCAATTACAGATTAAAAATGTTTATTTCATATCAATCAGTTTACACGTTATAATTGTTCTCAATCAATTCAGTGGCAGCGTCCATCACTGACCACCGTGCCAGTCAACGTGTTAATCGTGGAAAATTCATAATGGATACGTTCCATTGAATTAATTGAATTAATTGCTGCACAATACGGATTTTATACGTCCGTCGATGAACACGCTTTGTTATTACTTTGACGCGTTTGTGGAGCACGATTTTATAAGCTTCTCAACAATGGTAATATTGATCGGAATTATTATAAACTGGAGATGATTCTTCGCTTCATCCATCAAGAATATTATTAATGATAATCGAGGCACACTAGTGTTCCGGTAATCAAGGAATACTCCCGGAACGGCACTATGAACCGTTGAACTCTGTATTAACTGTTAACGCGGTAAACAAGTTTCCCTTTGATTGCGAATTCTGTAAATTGGTCTGTATTAATTTATACTTGCATGAACGTCCGCGGCAGTTTGCTCGATAACCGCTGCCAGTAGTTCACGCGTTCATGATGCACGGTCGAACGTGTAAAACACAATCAGACGGAAACTTTAATCGAAGTTATAAAGCGATGCAGACTGATTAACCCTTGCAACCCGAAGAACGTGACCCGTCTTCACTAGCAACGTGTCAAGATAAAATATCTTTTATAGTTTCATATTTAACGCGTTGACTGCCATTATAATTTTAATCGTTTTATATAAATTCACTCATTCCTTCATAAAAATAGTAAATGAAATTAGAAATAACAATTAACAATATCGTCGCAGTTCTCTCTTTACACTATTATCTAGTTATTTATAAATATTTCTATTCGACATCAACCTTCTTATTATACTTATATTAAAATCATTCAGAAGCAAAGTAGTCAATGTATTAAAGAAATAATATAAGAAAACTTTCATAGAATGTTGAGATATTCTGATATCATTTTATTCTAAATACACAGTGTCTTAGTATACAGTAACTCAGTATACAACGACTAGCAGCATAACGTTCATAACCTTTTTCTTGTTATTTCTCTAATAACATAAGAAAACTTTCATATTCTAATATCATTTTATTCTAAACACACGGAGTGTCTTAGTATACAGTAACTCAGTTTACAACGACTAGCAGCATAACGTTCATAACCTTTTTCTTGTTATTTCTCTAATAACATAAGAAAACTTTCATATTCTAATATCATTTTATTCTAAACACACGGAGTGTCTTAGTATACGGTAACTCAGTATACAATGACTAGCAGCTTAACGTTCGTTCTCGTCGCAGAGGCGAGACGATGATTAAAAATTTTACGATCGAATTTGTACAGTGAGGAACGAGGGACGCGTTTTTATTGGACGCCGGGAACTAATTTGCATTCGCGTATACGGGAATTCCCGTACGAAACGACTGTTTTGATAGGGAAGAGAAGGCGGGAGGCCATACACGTTTTGCAACTTCCAGCCTTGAGCACACCGAATGCCTCCATACTCACTCGTTTACTTGTAGTTTCTGTCTTGTGTACCCAGTATCTGTATGCGTGGCCGCGACTACCAGTAACGCGCACCCACGTACCGGGTGACGCTCGCATAATCCCCATGAATGGTCCATCGACGAACGCGACGAGAAACTTCCCTCCCGCCGCCATTATTATTTCTATTAACGAAAAAGTCGCGCGCGATTAAACTTCGCACGACTCCTCGTCTCATAAGGTAACGAACGTTTCCTCTCGGTTCTTCGTACGTTTTTTCGATCCTTCGAGATCTAACGGCTTCATTTCCAGTTTCATTTTCAACGAATTCAACAGTGTTGTTCCTATTTTAGATTCATTTTTGTTGTTGTTAGTATTGGTATTTGGCGAGATATTTCTTTTTTGTTGCGATTATTTCATTAGAATGGATAGGTGTCGATAATGGATTGGCACTAGGAAATATGTTTCAGTTCTTTAATCTATTTCAGATGTTAGATTGTTAAATTAAGAATTGTATCGAATTCAGAAGGCGAGGGTACTTTAAATAGTTTCATTTGAATTAGTCATTGAATTTTTGATTGAACTATTCGTTTGAACGATTTATTTGACAACTGTTGAAAGATAAAAAATAAATCTAAATAAGAAAATCAATGTTCAACAGTTTATGTTGACGTCACACTGAAAGTATCAACACTTTTCGTCAAATGCATCAAAGGCAAAGGAATGAGAACGATATGGAACCAAAAACGATCCGCATTCCGAAGAATATCATATCTCGAAACAGCGAGAATAATTAAGTTTCTCACCCTATATAGTTACTGAGGCGCACTATACTCAAGGCTGCCTGGATGCCGTAGAAATACCTCGGCGGGGACAGTTTCCGCCGCGGGAATGGGGAAATTCCGGATCCTTAGCCGGGAACAAACCGCCCCTGACGCGCGGCAGAATTCTAAACGAATCAGGCGTCGCCGAACGAACTAATTGATCATGAAAATGACTGATCAAGGATGGCGCCAGGGTAAATTAGAAAACCTTTTCTTCGAACGAATCTGTACAACTTGAAATGTATAAGTGATACAGAGAAAATCCGTGTATCTAGCAGAAGTTGGCAACCTTGAACAACTTTAACATTTGTATGATCTATTTCACAGTATATTAAGGAATAATTTCACCAGAAATCACGAAAGTGCTTTGAGGAGTATTTTAAAGAAAATGAATACACAGCTATAACAGTATTTTTCATTGAAAACAACCGAAGAATATTGCTAATAAATGTATATATTGCTATATTTATTGTTGTACAATCGACGTAATTCTGTATTTTTCCTTTTTTGCTACTATTTCCTACGTTATTTATTTTCAAACTGTCCATAGAATTATTTCATATGATACAAAAGAATTATTTGTTGAAATTTCGTCCATTGGCGCGATGATCGGAAGACAGGATTTCCCGGGAACAAAAGAATACGGAAGATCGAAGATGGCGATCGGAGATGTCAGGTTTACGTGGCAAGAGAGGAAACGTCTCCACCGTCTCGTGATCCTCGCCATCTTGGCGAACGGCCTGATCGGTCTTATTCTATTTACCATGGGCGTGTTCACTATGTACACGATCGCCGGACAATTGGGATTCGAGGGGAGGAATTTATTCGATCTGGTGTTGAAGACGTTGACGTTGTACGGGCTGTACGTGTTCGTTCATAATCTAACGGGCGTGAAGCTTTGTTACAATTACTTTCGTTATGCTGAAGGGTAAGGATCTTGAACATCGAAACCTCTCTTTTATTGATCTTGAATCGATTGGTTGACGAAAGTACTTCGAGAAATTCATTCGAAATATTATTTGCAAAGATATACACAAATATTTAATATAATTTTCAATTATTCTATAATTTTTATAACAAGATGTTTCTTTATGTATTCGTTGAACATAAATTTCTATAAAAAATATACAATGAGCAAATGCTTATCATTCTTAGTAAATATTTCCAATAGGAAATTAGATATCTACGAAAAATTGAAATCTATGCCGAGCTAATTGGAAAAACTCACCCCCAGGATAAAACCCCATGGAACCGGGCGTCCATTATAACATTGAAACATGAATTATCATGTTCCGATTATGATACGCGTCTGCACGCAAGAATGTTCGCTTCCATACCCGAGTTATTCGCGAATGGGCGCAATTAAAGCGCGTGAATGACGGCCAGCTGCGAACAAAGCCGTCAGGCACGCGTTACGTAAAATATTCGTCGCAGAATACCCGGCAAATTGCGAATCAGCCGGATCGGGCCTGTGATTCCCTGTGTAAATCAGTTAATGCGAGCGGAGCGGCCGGCTCGGCGGATTTTTCGGGGCGCGATATTTCCCGACCGGGAAACCGCGCCGGCCAAAGTGAAATTCACCGGCCTCTGAAGCATTCATTAGGGGAACCCGTGCACGCGTGAATGCAATTAACACTTTACCCGCCTATTAATAGCCTTATCTACGTCTGGGATGCGGGTATCGAAAAATGGCTGAATAATTCTCTTCCTCTTTCAATATCTTTTAATAACACCAATCACTGGATTCTAATAATAGACAAATTGACGCGTGACTGTAATTTCCGTTGTCAATCAAACATTGCTCCTAGATTCTAAAGGAACCCTTATGATTAAGGGTTAGTATAATATAAATAAACTTAGTATAATATAATATAAATAAACTTATATAATATTTGTATAGAAATTGATTATAGTATTGTAAGAGAATATTATTTAAATAGTATGTTTTCTTCACAACTTACAATAAAACAATGATAAATTAAATCACGCACATATATATATATATATATTTTCAAGATGGTATTAACCGATCATGCTTACAATTCTATAACTATAATTATTAGTTTCCTCCAAAATTAAAATTTACCTATGATTTGTAACATATATTTTTAATTACTTATAATTTCCATTCGATAGGATTCAGGATAATGAATTTATTATTACTAATTCCTTAGTAGTATATAAAATAAACACTCGAGAAGCGAAGAGAATGGATATAAATCGAACGAGGAACGTCGAATGGAAGGTACAGCGATGTGGAAAGGGGTGAAAGTGGGGGTGGACCCGATGTGCCCGGTGTTTTTCTTAATTCCGAAGAGTGGAAACGACGTCCGCGGATTGGAAACCGGCCGGTCGCCGAACGCCGATCGATTTGTCAGAATTTCCAAGTAATTCCGCCGCGTCGGTGGTTCATTTGTTTTAATTACCCACCCTCGTTAACGTATCTTTGCGGTATCGTTCGCGGCCCGGTGATTTTCGCGCCCACTCGGCCGCCGCTGCGCGATGTACGGCCTTCGGGAGATTGGAAGGGCGGCGAAATTAGTCTCGGTAGGTTTTAAATTAGCTCCGCGAGAGTAAAAAATCGATTGGTATAAACGACGCCGGCGCCCTTTTCCCTTCTGAACCGTTTTAAACAATGAAATGCAGTGAGATCGATGGTCGCGTCATTGGGAATGAAGATTAACCCCTTGCCATCTGATTTCCTTCACGAATGTAACCGTTAGATTTAATTACTATTAAGAAATTTTCTTCTTCGCTCTTAAGTGTACATTCACTTTCAAAACATTGGTAACAGCAAGATAATTTTTAAGTTGGATCTATATACAACGAAATAAAATTGATTTTTAGTAGATTAAATTGTATGTCGAAGGGTTGAAATGTTTAATAGAGATGTTCATACTGATCGAATCGGGAATTCGTTTGTTTCAGACCATGGATGAACTTGAGATTGTTTGTTTGGACGATGGTAGGGCTGCTGGTGGCACTGGTGGGCTGCTTCATGGCTAGCATTTGCTCTTCGACCGCGGACGAATTGATACTTCAACTTAGAGAGACTCTTTTAGAAGGTAACAGGAATTTTCATTTATCCAATCCAACGGTAAACAATAGCATTCTTCTCCTAACTTACTCCCATCGAATATGATTGAGAATCATCGAAATGAAGGATTATTGATACTCATGTTCAATTATGAAAATTAGAACGAAAAGATTGCTTCGTGAAATTGTCCACTGTATAAATTCGAATAATAGTATAATCTTCTTATTAACGTATATTCAAACGTCTAATGATAAGAATTCGAATCTTAGGAATAATTAAGAAATCCCATTCCCAGTTTGTACCGCGTAATCAACGAAAGCTACAAATTTCCATAATCATTTCATAAAATCTTGCTCAAAGGACAGCGGACGATAATCCAGTTAACGCTGACATAATTATCGAGAGATCATCGGACTCCATTTACGTATCGGCGATGCGAGCCGCGGGAGCGAGTTTATCGCGAGCAAACGTTTCGAATTTCGAAGAGAATCCAGTCGTGCCGTATCTATTCATTAAGTAGGTAGACACTAAACGAGATTTCCATCAGTAATTTCGACGGGACGTACCGGGTGTCGGCTTCGACCGCCGATTTGCATATTATGCGCCGGGACACTACTTCGCGGCATGCCGTTTTCACCATCTGTCTGCCGTACAGACGATCCCTGTATTTCGGTGCATCACGTTAACGCCGCACGAACAAGTCCCCTTGTATCGGCAAGACTGTGCCCCGTCACGGTTATTACCAATGAATCCCCAACCCCGTAGCATCTCTATATTAAATATTCAAATTTATGATTTGCCACAATTCGCCGTGGAAAACAATATCAAGAAATTGCTGCGGATACATCGAATAGGACACAGTAATTTTAACGCTTTATTTAATCAACGACTGTTAATAGGCTTTTCAACTCTTTGCACTTGATAATATTTTTCAATATTAACTATATTATTTGCAAGTTACATAAAGAAACATCGTGCATAAATTATGACAGAATTGTTTTACATTGAATGTTCAATGTTTTATATTGAATTTTTCGTTTCATAATTCTGCTGCAAATTAGAGTGATTAGATTGTGATATTTAGAATGATTTGTTGAGTCAGAATTGATATTGATATTGACATTGATATTCAAATATTTATTAAGAAATTCTTGTGCATTGTGATTCTTCGATAAGCTGTAAAGTAACTGCCAATAGTCGTGTCAATTAAGGATCCTAATAAATCTGAATGATTTATTTTATCCGAATGAAATCTTGTTAAATTCTAATTATTCTTTAACAGCAAATATTGAATAGGAAATTTAATGTACAAAGATTCTCATTACATTAAGAGATACTGTACGTTACGATTTTCTTAAGCAGTAGTCAATTATCCTAATAAATATTGTAACTGCGCAACAAGATTTCATAAAGATGAGATTTCAACCCTTTATCCGACAAGCATTATGTAAGCCATAAATCGTACAAACACCAGAGACAACAGACAAATCCAATTACAATAAAATAAACCCTCATAACAAATTCACATTTTATCCACTGATTTAAATAACCGAACAATACGTGATATTTCGAGCGACGCTATATCATTGCCGAATGGGGGACACTTTGCAAAATAATATCCCGCTTCCACCGGAGAATCCAGGTGAAATATTCGCGATGAATTAAAGAGTAACCGTTGTACACGATAAAATTCAATTTCTTTCTATTATTTAATGAAGAATGCGGATAAGGGCGCGAAGAAAAATGAAAGAATGGCGCACCGCTCGGTATCGCATGAATCTCAATTGTTCGCCGGTGCCACTTTATCTTCCAGCCAGTGGTGGTGCGGTATTCACCGTCGAAACGCTATCAAATTTCCGACGGGACCCGCGGTCTGGCTCGCGGTAATACACACGGAATATTTCACATTAACGTATGACTTTCCGATATTTTATATCCCATCAGAAATTCATCAGCGCATACGAAACCGAAATTCCAGATCGAGGTTGCGGGCTACGTCGGCCAGGAAGGGGATGCGGATTGAAATTTCCGTATTCGCGGTCCAAGTCGCGCACCCATCGAATTAATTAAAAAGCCCGCGTCGAAATAATTAAATATCGACCGCGTCGATTGCCGGTACGCCACTTTTCCGCGTTCCCGTTATCGATAATCGACAAAGCGGACACGCTTCGCGTGACATCTTGTAAACAAATTGATTTTTCCCCGATCACGTGTTCCCAAGATGCTTCAGAAAGTTTGTTTATGTACTTTGTGTACCACCAAAGCGTCCGTTAAGTGCTTCGGTAATTAATGAGCACGTTCAGGAGAGTGTTTCTTTATGAATACGTCACTGGGGACTAGTAAAGTGGTGCAGAACGTTGCGTGGAATCTAGTAAGTAGTATGAGCACGTTACAAGTCAGACATGTGGAATAAAACAGTTTGCACTGATTGAAATAGCCTTTCGTAGCTTCAAAGTTTCAGAGATTAATTATTTTATATTCGAATATGAGTTATATGAAATTTGCAACAAGTAAATATTTTCTAAACAAAAAATTCTAGCGTGTCATTTGTTCTTTGGAAATTGTTTTAGACATATTTATAACTTGTACAATGTTTCTTACCTTTATTTATTGTTGCGACAAAAGGGAGGAAAAAAGAAGTCCAACTATTTCATTCCACTTCTCGAACAGTTTTTACCATCATCATTGAAACACTTGATTACTTTTTCCCATGTACAAGTTCATACGATTTTTCTATATTTTCTTCTGTTCAGTTAATCACTTCGGCAAGTGAATGGTTCGGATAATAATATTTAATAGCGTGCGAGTGTTGTTAAATGCGTTCCGAAACACCGTGAAATTGCAGCTCGCCAAGTGCTTTCCGATGCAGTCTCTCCACGCGTAAATCTCGAAGAGACTCGGCACTCTGTAATCGGCACTCTCTATTCTACCTGCGACGTTCGTCGGCGCTCGCTGCTGCTCCGTTCCGAAGAACTTCGACGCTAAAACTCCCTTCGACGTCCTGCGACGTCCCGCAGGTTCCTTCTGCTCGTAATTAGTCGCAGGTCACATCGGAAACTGAAACTCCTTTGCCTGTCAAACTTCACTGCGTACAAATAGCATTTCAAAAGGAAATATAATTTGAATTTTGGACAGACTTCCGGTGACGGGTGACATCGTTACTTAAACGAGAATTCATTCGCACGTAAATTTATCTGTCAGCCATCCGTACTCCAGTTTCAAGAACAAATTAATTAAACGCTATAAATTATTCCACCCCAAATTGAATCAAATACATCTTTATTCGTACACTACGAAAATATACAGACGCAGGTAATTAGATTTCTATCGATTCAACAATTTCCTGAATTCCAAAACAAATATGAAAAGAAACTGACAAATCTCTGACCCGTTTCAGTTGTCATTTTAAAGGATGAGATTACCAGGGACTGTTTCACTTTCTTCGGATTCGAGGAAGTTTGATTAGAGCTCATCGAGTTTCGCCAGTCACTGAGACAGTTAATAAATCCTCTCGGTTTAGTTGGCGTGATTAAATTTCCGCGGGCATTCGATCGCGAAATAATTATCCGGCAAAAGTAATCCCCGTCATTCTGTCAACAGGCATGAAGAGGTACTTCACGGACGTGACGTGGAAACGCAGAATAGACAGTCTGCAAGTGCAGATGCGGTGTTGCGGAATAGATTCGTCCGACGATTGGCACAAGACGTACTGGCTGCGGAGGGAGCTTCTTGTGCTGGATTCCCCGGATATCTTGAAGTAATTATCAGTTAATTATTCGGGAACAATCGGGGCTTGGTATCGGCGCCGGCATCGACATTGGCATCATAAAATCTATATATCCTCCACGGAGCCCTTATCGACCATTATCGTGCCGCTTGATTTCCATATCTATACGCAGCGGGCGAGCACCTTATCGTCGAATGATTCCCGATATCTCGGTTGATTACGCGAGGAAGTCTCTGATTTGTCGGTGAGAAATTAGTATGTGATATTATCTCATCGTACAATAGTTATTAAAGTAATGTAATAGAAAAAATCGATGCATAGCTATGATAAATTAACGCTGAATCTTTCGTTTCGAAATGATGTCTAGTTGACATTTTTAGTTTAATTTAACGATTTTACTTTTATTTTTATGTTATAGAATTTTCTGTTTCAAGGTTCAATATTATATAATTTTAATTTAATAATTTCTAGCCGATGACGCTTCTGAATTGCTTGAGAAAAATTACAATCTGCAAGATGACTGCTGTCGACTAAAGATATTTAATAACATAAATAAGTTAACAAAAGTCAATGTAAGAATTCTGATGCTAAATAATTAATAATTGTTCCTATTTACCTTTGCCACGAAGGAATAAATCGTGTATAAAATATTCAAGATTCTCGTGACGCTTAACGTGTTAAGGATCAATCGCTACGTATACAAGTTAGAAGACTCCATCACTCAGAATTTTCTCCCAATCACCTAAAAAACCTCTTCCCTCTATATTCGTCAAACCATTCCGCATTTTTCAACGAGAAACAATTCATATAACCGCATTCATTCCGCGAGAATGTCTGAAATTACTGTTCCCGCGCCTTCAAGTCGAAATTCCAAAGGCGGCGCGTTTTCTAATCCGTCCGCGAAATTATTAAACGAAAATTACCATCCCCTCCCGCGCGCCGCGCCGGTGTCCCCCGTCTTTCCGCGCAGCGTACGATAATAATTACAATATCTCGCGACCCTGTCCACCGAGAAACGAATTTTCGCGGAACTTTAATGGGAGCGCGGAAAGTATGCCAGGATTTTAATTACAACTACACGCCCAGCGCTAACGGAAACGAAATTTTAACGTGCAAAACGGCCGAGCGGCCGGCCGCGCCGTAGGGGATGACGGTCCGCGGCGTTTCCGAACGGGGAATGATTTTTCGAAAGTGTTAACGCGCGCTGTGAATCGCCGGTCCTTTAAAATTCCAATGGGAAACGGGAATTCCCGAAAGGAAATTCGACCCCTTCGCGAGGGGTGGGCAGGAACGTCCCCGTTTCTCTTCCCCCCGGAATTCCCTCTGTCGACATTCCACGCCTTCCCGCGATGCTGCCGGGAAGGATTTAAAACGCTGCAGGCAGAGTGCTCGCCGGATTATTTCCACATGGTCGAGTTTAGGCCCTCCGCCTCGGGTTTGGACCCTCTGTCTTAGAGGCTGGGGGTGCTGCACGTGCTTTTACGCGAACCACCCTTAAGATACGCCCACCTGGAAGTGTTCTCCATTTGCCTTGTAACTTGAAAACCATTCCGCGGACAATGATATGTTACAGATTGTATTTCTCGGTCTCTTTTTTCCGTGTTTTTTCACCCCGCTTTATTCAGCCAGCAACCTGCATGGGGTTAATAAACTTTCATCAGAACGAGAGTGGATTCTTTCCAGTTCTTTTTGGGGGAATGCTCGCGGGAGTGAGTGGATGAATTTTAGAGTTGGTTTTGGAGGTGAGAATGGTATTTTTGGAAGTGAATATTTTGGGGTGGTAAGTTTGTAGCTGAGATTAGAGATTTTGAGTGGTTTTTGGGGATTTTCGTTGTGGTTTTTAGAGGAGAGATTAAAATATTTTTGCAATGATTTTAGAGTGTTTAATTTTTGGTAATTGAGTTTTGTTTTCAAATATGTCTTTGACGGGGCTGGGAGATTTTTTGATGTTTTTTGTGGGTTTTAAATTGTACCTCGCTTTGTTTTTAGTTTTGTGAACTTTTGTAGTCTCTTTGTAAATCAGAGAATAATCTACTTAAATCGGTCAGTCAAAGGAAAACGGGAAGTTTGAGAACGATAGCGAATATATTCGGAGAAGTGTAGAACTCTAATTACCTCGGGAACAAGTAATGAACAGCACAGAAAATATTGGCTCCCTTCTTTGTACACCCCGTCGAACAACAGAAATTCGATTAAACTTCCGAAAGTTCGATAGAACGTTGGCAAGTGAACACCGTTGGAAACGTTAATTTACAACTTTCCGCATATTAGCAGACTGGGCGCGGTTTATTGGCAATTTTTATGGATATCCCGGCAGCGATCAGCGCGCTAATGGACGACCAACATACCGACCACAGAATTTCACTTCGAAAAATGTATCCTCTCCTCAAATATTATTTTTATTCGTACACACCCTGTTATAACCATTAGAAAACAAACATTCTGCACCATTCACCATAACCACAGAACACTCATTAAACGTTCATTAATCTCCCGCTACTCCCAGAGAATCACTAAAATCCCAACACGTTCAATAAATCTCCGCACATCAAATCCGAAGTGTATAATCCAAATAGAAAAATCTTCAAACGAAAACAAAACCAGTACAAACCAATTTATCATAACCAATCTATTTCCTAAATACTTCTCAATAATACATCCCTAAACATTTTCAACCCTAATCGTACCACGTGATTTTACAACGAATCATACCACGATGTGACTCTCACTCACTAACGAGAATAAAAGGAACGATTAAAACGTCATTGTTTTTGTTCATAGAGCCCAAATTTTAAAAGTCGAAAAAAAAACTTTTGGAAATGCAAAATGAAATAATCAAAAAATTTCAGTAAAAGGTTCAAATGTGACAAAGTCACATCGTGGTACGATTAGGGTTAAACAAATACACTTTCCAGAAATGTCACTTTTCAGAATATATACACCAATCCTTTATTTTCCACCGTCCCGATATTCTCCGACGCGTCATAACACCGTCCACCGGTAATCAGAGAGAGCATTCCAGTTGACATCAAATACGTAACACCGAAACAAAGTGAAACTCCCTCGGTTTTATCGGGAAACATTTCCCCGCGAGACGTCGATTAAGATAACGTGTTTAGTTTACGACGGAATAATATCGTGTTGCTCGTTGCAGTCGGTCTCTACCCAGTAATTGCCTGATAGTTAGGTTTCTAGATGCTGATGTACGCGCGCATTATGCTCCCCGCGGTAATACGTTCAATAATAAAGGGTTAATAGCGCGTTCTGAACAGAAGCCTTTGTGTCGCGGCTGGTAATCGCAGGTAGAGCAGTGGGTTATCGATTTCTCGTTATGTTAATTGGAGAATTATACCTCGGCGTAGATCGATCCCCGGCCACCGCCGCCGCCGCCGCCGCCTCCTCGACACCGCAGCAATTCCCGAAGTGTCAACCGCCCCGCTATCGAGCCCGTAAAATCAACAGATATTACCCTTATATCGGGTGAGCATCGAACGTTGTTACCCAACCGAGGAACCGACTCGATCCGCGCGCAAAAATCTCCGCGGGAAAATGTAAACCGCAGCTATACCGCGCATAATTTTCGTTCAACGGGAAAATAGGATTTAAATATTCATCGCGTTACGATTATTTATGGGACAATCGGAATTTACATATTCGCGTCTGGCCGTTACTCGCGGTTTCCGTTCTGCTTCAACGTTGTTAACGGTGTTACCAGTTTCCTGTTTATTAGCGACTCGCGATTAATTTGTCCCCCCTTTTTTTTGCTCCTGTCGGACGAGGAAATAATTATTATTCAATTACTTCTGGTATTATTGTTTTCGTTATACTCGATTATGATTGTTACCGAACTGTGTACGTTTGAAATATTTACGGGTAGATTTATGTGGACTAATTTACAAGAATTGACATTAAAATGTAATTACCCTTTCTCTATTGCAAACTTTGTCGCGACAGTCGCATTCGACGTTCATAAAATTTTCACTGTATCCAATATTGTAACATGACGAATTCTATATATTGCAAATATATAGGAAACTCGAGCTAATTGTAGTATAATAAACAAGGTTTTTAACTGTACAAAACATAATTAAAAGTCAAGATCACTCCTTTCTAAATCTAAATTAGGAAACAAATGCTCAAAGCCATTCGACCAAAATTTCACGAACACGCTTTTACGAATGAAGGGGAAAACAGATTAACAACGAAAAATATATTCAACCGCACAAACATCATCCGCTCTCAAATTCCGAATAAAGCCAATGTTCAAATTTCCAATGAAATTTCACGAACAAGGTTATACGAATGAAAAGAAACACGTATCGATAATGAAACAGATTTTTCGAACATGCAAAAATCATCCCCTACGAAATTCCAAATAAAGCGAACGTCCGAATTTCCAATAAAATTTCACGGACAAGGAAATTGAAAATGAAAGGAAATTCATATCGATAATGAATCAGATTTTTATTTATACACGCGTACAAAGTTCATCCACTTGAAAATTCCAAATAAACCAAATGTCCGAATTGGTACGAATGAAATGTCACGGGCACAGCTTTATGAATGAAGGGGCAGGCAGATCGATGGCCGGTCGTGTAATCACCCGAGAGCAGGCCACCGTATCGGCGGGGTGAAGGGTCGCTGCGGCCGGGACGCGTCGCTTTTCACTCGCCCGCTGGAAGTTCGTCGAAAAGCCACCGGTTGAGAAAGCGTCCGAGCAGCCGTTGCGACACGCGACACGGCTCGCAGCTCATTCCAGACTTCGCGGACATGTCCGCGGACAAGTTCGAATTAGCAAGTTCAACAACTTGCGGAATGCCGATTGGTGGCCTCGCCCCTACCGAAGCGGCCCCCGACCCGGCCGCACTTTCAGCTCGCCCCCCCCCTTGCGTTGCCCGGAACTTCGAGTTTCCCGAACTAATCTTGGATTTTTGGTCGCAACGCGGTGGAAAAGAGAAAGATTAAAACTCGAATTTCGGGAACGAGGGGTGGAAAGTATTTTCGACGGGGTGGGGGACGAAGAGAATCGTTTCAGTTCGATTTCCCTGTTTTATTCAGGGTGGGAAGAACGCTTCGGTGCTTTTACCGGGAAACTTTTTCTTACTAGATTATTGGCGGAGTCCATTCGGGCGGTTTGACAGTTGAGATTGTTGCTTGCGAACGAACATGGCAGATTTGTTGGGTTCGAACGTTGAGGAACCTGAATTCTCAACGGGTTTTTCAATTTTCGTCATTCGGGGTTTGAAGTTTATGGGGTGTCGGCGGTATAAGGTTTAGTGAAAAAGCGCGGGGGATTAATCCTCGGTCAAGCTGGGGTTTAAGAGCTCCGCGTCTCACAAGTTTTCGGGTTAAACCCGGGGCGGTCGGATTTTCGGAATTTCGAGTTCAATCTTCGAGATGAACTCTGTGCTTTAAGAATGTTAGTCGAACGGTATTATAACTTGAAATGTAGCCTGTCGAATGTTAAATAGAAATTTCACGTAGAACTGTAAGAGCCCAAATATTGAATCCTTGTCCAAAACCTTTGATCAAGATTACCTTCAACCCCTAGAACTAATTATAAATATCTTAGCAAGCTACATGTAGACCAGCTGTTAGACTCGATCCTATTCTGTATAACATTTCTAGGTACTTTAGTATTACCCTCTACCTCTGTTTTGACCAATTTACAAAATATATTAACGATAAGCTAAAATTACCAAATCAATAAATAACAAATCAATCAGAAGTTCAATCATATATAAGTGAGAAATACATCTTTTATCTTTCCAAAGCGAAACTTAGTCAAAAATCAAGTAATCCAGTTAACAGTGAAGTATCCACTTCTATCGTCTGCGTTAGATCTGGATGTAAAGCAAGACCATATCCATAGAGTCTTCAACGAAACAGTTCGATAATCCTGCAGCTACGATTCGACAACTCGCGGAGTGTTCTGGTAGCTGTGATTGTTCGGTGACATCTTGAAGTTCGCGGTGTCGTGGACGTGATCACAGGATCTGACACGTAGGAATCCCTGTTCCAGGTACGCGGAGTTGGACGGTCGCGTGACGCCGCCGGTGGTGCCGTGGAGTTGCTGTCGGCCGGACGTAAAGGGTCCCTGCTATCACGATCCCCTTCAGCTGCCAAATCCTGAACAGAATTCCACTTACGAGAGCCTGAACGCCCGGGGCTGTCTGATCGCCATGAAGACCGTGCTAAACGGGACCCTCTATTCCACCGTGCCGCTGATCGTGTTTCTGTTTGTGTTGCAGGTAAATCAATAATAACGCAACGCTCGCCAGGCAAACAATCGCCGAATCAATCATTCGACTCGGATTCCGGTGCCCGGGGTGACGGGGGGAATTGATTCGGCGGCAAGAAACACGCGATCGATGGGACGACTCCGTGCAACCGGGAAAGGATTGAATCCCATTGTCATTGCGGGATTCGAGCCTGCCACTTGCGCCGGAGGCCAGTTTGGCTATTCTATTGTACGCGGATCTGACGACTGTCTTTGGGAGCGATGACTAGGGAATCGGATTGATTATTGGGATCATTTGGTGATTTATTGGGGATTCCATTGGTTCATAGTATTATAGCTTCGGGGTTTTATTGATTTCTAATCATTTTAGTTTTTTACGCATTTTACCTAAATTTGGGATTTTATGTATTGTTACTGATTTTAGGTTTTACTGATTTTCATTAATTTTCGGGTTTTATTGATTTTTACTCATTTTAGGTTTGTACTCATTTTCACTAAATTTGGGGTTTCATTGATTGTTACTGATTTTAGGTTTTTACTCATTTTCATTAATTTTGGAGTTTTATTGATTTCTACTAATTTTACGTTTGTACTCATTTTCACTAAGTTTGGGGTTCTATTGATTTCTACTAATTTTACGTTTGTACTCATTTTCACTAAGTTTGGGGTTCTATTGATTTCTACTAATTTTACGTTTGTACTCGTTTTCACCAATTTTAGGATTCTATTGATTTCTAATAATTTTAGGTTTTCTACTAGTTTTTAGTTTTCTAATTCCTACTGATTCTATACATTTTTACTCGTTCCTGAGATGAGGTTTTTTACATTACTACAATTCGCAAAGTAAATTAGACAACACGTTATTAACATCTAGAAGTAATATTTTGAATTCCTTTGAGAATTTCTCAGATGAGATTTCTTAAGTTCTTATAATTTAGAAGATAATAAATGTATAGAGGAACTGAAGAAATTATAATTACCGATGTCATTGTTAATAGCATTCTATATAATTATAAAATTCGCGTGGACATTGTGGTCTATAGAACAGCAATCACAGAACGATCATTGACGTTCTGATTCGTCGTCGATGAACGTTGACCGCCGAGGTTCGAATTAAACGTATTAATTAATCATTTGATAAAGAAAAACTCACCGCTCGATAGACCTAATTAACCGCGACTATTTGCCAGCTTAATGATATCAAGGCCCGAGTGGCTCGACCGAAGAATAGTGGAAACGGAATTAAATTGGAGAGAAGAAACGAGCCTCTGGCACGCGAGCTTCCCTGCGCTCGAAACGTTACTTTCTTGTCCAACCCATTTTTGAATCCATCTTGGTTACAGGGTTACGTCTGGCTTCATTAAAAGCTGGGAGATATCTTCGGATTTCTTCGACAGCCGCACACGATTCCATTAGTTGTTAATTCGATAATAATCCATCGGAGTCGACTCCCGATCGTACGAACATACCTTCGTCTTAACTCGAATATTAAATCTTTTCACTTCCATCGAAATCCAATCTCTGTTTCATTTGATAATCTATGAAAAACCATATTTTCATCAAATACTCTTCCCTCTTCGATGAACCATTTATAAAATTCCTTTCGCGTCGACACGAGGTGAATAAAATACTACATGTAAGTTCGTTCCTTATTGGACAAGTGTCACAAAATGCCGAAGGATAGCTCTGATTTACTCGTGAAATGGTTTATTCGGTGCCGTATAATTTACAAATCGGCCCCCGTTCAGGGAAGTTAAATATGAATTATTGAATCGAGCTCGGCGGGAATTCGGCGCGAAAAGCGAGCCGGTCCGCCTTAAAATATTACGCGTTTCGCAGTTCCGATGACGCACGATATCATCGTGCCGGCGCAATCAATAATGCCGAATGAATCTGATAATCCCTGCCTATCCATGCCCGGCTCGATCCAGCTCTCGGCCAGTTAGCATTATTCATTCTAGTGTATACCGGCTGAAGCTCTCAAAATAACATTATTATATTTTATTATTTATAAAACATGTATACATATAAATATGTATTTTATAAATAATAAATATGTACAATGTTATTTTGCGAGACTGTGTCGGTGCGCGCTAGAATAAGCAACGGTAACTGGCTGCGAGCTGAATCAGATTTTTTATCTTCGACGGTGTTCCCGGTGTTCAAGGCAAACAGTTTTTATTCTTTGAAATACACGAACGAAATTGTATCAGATTTTTATCGTCGAACGCACGGTGCGACGGGATCGATGGATTCAGGTTTGATTCGAATTTAATTCGCGATGGCATTCACGTAGACCTCAGATATAACTTGGCCCTCATGCAGATTCAACTCAATCAGATCTGAATTCAGATGAAACCCCCCGAACCTCGGGGATTATTCGCGGGTCTGTGGATTTTCTGGATTTATGGGGCATGCAAATGCGCTCGATATGGAAACATGAACACCATAATGAACATTTATTCGGATTCTATGTTTGTCCTGCACATTGATATAAAGTGAAATGGTCGCTTTGACGTTTTGAAATTCTGGAATTTTAGACATTTCGACATTCAGACATTTCATAACTAGAAAATTGTGGAAATTTGGACATTCTGAAGCGTGGAAATTTGGAAAATTCGAAAACACCGGAACATTGAAGCTTCGAAACTTCTGAAGCTTGAAAATTCTAGAACATTGAAATTTTCAAACTCCGAAACTTCCAAACTTCCAACCTTCGAAGTCTTGAAACGTGCACAAAATTATCACCCTCCGCAAACAGGAAATGCGACAAACTTCAGCTCACGAAAGATTACACCAAGTCGAAAGCATACACCCGGAATCCTTCAAATCCCTAAATAAAGATACGCCAAGCCCCCCAAGGTCCCCACCGGCAAACCGCCCGGCGCCCGAAATCCGATCAAGGCAACAGAACATCGCGGCCGTCGAATAATTGGCAGACTCGTTAACGATCAACAAACCCCTGTAAAGCACGTTCGGCAAACGTAGAATAACAACAACATCCCTCAGATTCACGCGGCGCGTATTCCGCCGCGTCGAATCCGGTTTGAAGCCCGGCCGCTTCGAATAATGACCGCGCGCCGCGTCGGATCGATCCGAATTTCCGGTGACTAAACAATAATCACCGCTAAAACAAACCTCGAGCCGCGTAGAACGACAACCGGAATTCCTCTAGATGCCGGTAGAGCCGGAACCGACGGCATATATTTAAAATATTCGGCGTAGAACGTGAAATATGGAGGGAAAACGAGTGTCGAACTCGGAGGGAGAACGGCTCTCGAGAACTGGAGGACTCCGGTCCGTCGTGGGGTGAGGCGGGGGCGTGTCGTAAAAACGAAAAACAGTGTTTTACGAGTGGCTAGAAGAAAAAATTGCAGCGTAGGGAATCGGGAAAGGGAAATGGAAGGAAGAAAAGGCTGGTTTCACAGCGGCGCTCGACCGTTCGTTGTTCACG